GCCATCATGCAGTTTTTTACATTATTTGCCATTGTAAGTGATGGTAGCTTAATAATATCGAATATGTAATTGAATAATTTTCGTTTAAAATAAAAATAATTCAGATGTTGTGCTAATGGATTGTTGACAAAAATAATGCGTCATTTGTCAAAATCATGCAAAGCGAATCGTCGAAACTGCGGCGAAATGAGTTGAGTGTATGGGTGTATACGGTGTGCTGGTATGAGTGTTTCACACAAATCTAAAATGATTCGTTTCATTAACCCTAAAACCGCCCATCGGGCACTCAGTGCCCGAGCAAAATTTCAAACTAAAATTTGTTACGAACCAATCAACGATATGTTCACTACAACTGATCAAAATGAACTGGAAGTATTGCTATTGACGCTTATCTGTGTTGAAGTGAAAAACAATGATTGAATATATGATTATGACGAATGTGGCTTATCATCACAAATACTCACTTAGAGTTAAATTTGTTGCATTTGTATTTATGTTCGACAACTCGTTTTTAATTGGTTTTTGAAATGTATGATTTTTAATGATGTGAACATGCTTAGCCGTGTGAGGTAAATTGTTTGCTTTTATAGTGCAACGAACTTAAAATCTGTAGATAAACATTTTATCGAGTACAGATATACGGTACGTTGAAACACTGATATGCTATTCAAACAAAAAACAAGGTAATTTTTTGAAATGGCGCTATCAAACACAAGATGAAACAGCAATTCCACTTACAAGTGAGTACCAAACGATTTTTATCGCATTTTTTGGTGACATTTAACTCATGTCATATGGACTTCAGTTCAATGGAATTCAGTTGCCCATCATCCATTCCGGCCGATTTCTTCCCGGTTGAAGTGACATTTGTATCAAAAGTACCATATGCTGAATTGAAAGTCTTACAAGTTACGAAAATTGAAGATGGTTCAACTGTACCATTCTCATTGGAAATGGTATTTTATCCAGAAAAATATGAAATTGCCTAAAGTAAATCACATCCATTTAATTGAAAATTATGTATCATTAATATTCCAATGCGCGAGACTATATCGAAAGGTGTTATTATTTCAATTTACTATTATAAAATACAATATGCTTATTCATTGTCATTCATCAATAATCTGCAAACAACAAAGGTGCATCATAGCCAATGTACTTGTTTATTTGGTTACAGTCAGTCAGTCATTTGATTTTGAAAAAAAAACTAAATATATTTTCAAGTTAAAAATGAATCCATGGCCATAGTCATGCTCACCTTTAAAAATTTTATAGACAGAAACGATAATTAATGAGAAAAAAAGAGATTTCCAAATCAAAAACAATAAATATTCAGCTTCAAAAATATTTTATTTTTCTATTTTTTTTTTTTTAGATGAGCAAGCGATTATTTGCATTCATTTATTCCATTGTTAGAATATTTTTCTTAATTAGAAATTCCATTGAAAATAAGAAATCTCTTTTAGAAATTCAGTCATCAGTCTAACTTAATTTTCAATATTTTGCTTGATTTGGCTCTTTTCTGAACTATCTGCTTACAAAAAACCATAAGCAGTGGAAGCAATTAAATAAATAAATAAATTAAAAAAAATTAAACTAGAAAAAAAAATAAGTAAATATTCTTTGGGTGATTTCATCAAAACTTAAAAAATACGATCTACGTCGAATAACTAGATGTGTGAATGCATGAAATAAAGTCATATCAATTAGTTGTCGAGTTGAACCGAGTCTTTTTCGAGATCTTCGATGATGTGAGTGACGCTGGATTGTGGCACCAAAACTCCAACAATCTTTCGACCTTCGGCCGTTTTCATACGAACATGGGGTCAATCACAAAATTCTAGTGTATCTAGTTTTTAATAAGATTTCACTAGAAAACTAGAAAATTCTAGTGCGTGAAGTTGGCTCTCAGTAGTTTTTCATATAAATTATATGGCCTTTGGTGTGAAGTTGGCTTCGTTTGTGACGTCATTATTCGCACTAGATTTACTAGTTTTTCTAGTATTTACTAGCGTGATTCGCCCCATGCATACGAATCACCTGTAATTTGCTCACCATTCCTCCTTCTCGTTGATTGATTTGGTGCTCAATGCGCTGCCAAACTGCAAAAATTGAACCAGCCACCACGTAGTATTTACGCTTACGCAAACCAAACTAAGGGAGATAAGAAGAGAATTATGTTGGAAATTGTTAAACCAAAACAAAAATAAAATGTCTTACGTCCGTAAGATGAACTTTTCCGCACTGTGATCCACAACATGCATTTATTACAAATCTTTTACTCAAAGAATTCACGAGAAAACTGAATCTGACATTAGTTTTACGATACAAATAATTTTCGAAGTACTTTTCATACAAAAACTACTAAAACTGTAAATTTTTGTATCGCAGCCATGCCTATATGATATCATAATCATATGAAAATTTGCAGACGTTATTTTTTTATCACAAAAAGTTAACATTCTGAACGTTTGAAGAAATTTCATTGCATATTTAGGGTACTTCCCATAAAAATCTAAAATTTTGTTTGGGAGGTACCCCTGTTATCCATTCAAATCTATTTGAACTCTCGGAATGTTATTTTTGTGTGAAAAAAATAAACTGTACAAAGTTTCAGCTCATTACGATATCATACAGGCATGGCTTCCATACAAAAATCCAATTTTTTTTTGAAATCGCAAAAATAACGTCATATTTGGTTTTCTCGTACCCAAACCCCCCCATATTTGATGGGTGTTAATTTTTCCACCAATTCCAATATTTTATCTTACACATTAGGTGTGTGCGGAAAAGTAATATCTTATTTTTTAGCGATTACTTACATCACAAAAGAGGCCAGCAGCTGAATTTTTACAATTTCCCCGCCAATATTTATGCGCGCACATTTTCTGCGATGCTTCATATTGGTCATTCCAGGACTTTTTCGCATCTTTTGGTGCCACTTTGTAGTTCTTGCTCAGAATATCAGCCAAATATTCCTGACGCGTCAAAATACCAACATTTGGACGGTAAATTTGCATTAGAGTTGAATGTTGTGAACTATTTGCAAACATGGCAAGTGTGGCTGTTTTGCGTGAACCGCTTTTTGATATATAAAAGCCTTCGTTCTGATCATTTGATTTGGCGTATCTAGAATAATAAATTCCAATTTGTAAATTAGTGACGGCTATTTTCAGTTTTATGATGAATTATCTCCAAACGATCATTGAGGCCATAAAAATATGGCTTATTCTCAAGTAATTCTCAATTTTAATCATGTCTCAATAAAAACAATTTACTTACTTTTCTTCTGCCTCTTCGAATGTGATTCCTCGGTCAATTTCGATGGTATGAAGCTCAATGGGTGCAATGCCAGTGGCATGTTTACGATTGAATGTTCGGGTGCTGAGCACCTTCACGTTGTTTGTATTGCCCATGTCCATGATGCCCATATCGTATTTGCCTGCCTTTTTGGCATCATCGATCAATTTATCCATCGTGTCCGTGAAGTATTTAAACAGATGGTTTTGTAGTTTAACCGGCAAGCCCAGAATGCGATTCAAGAACCTGGCAATATCTAATCGGACTCCGTCCTTGAGACGTTGCTTGTTTGTCAATCCTTTGATGTCTTCCATTAAACCGACGCCAATCAATGCATTCGATAAATCTTCAAAAAAGTCACCTTTATACTTAGTTGGTGGTGGGATCGAATCGTTTCTACCACGACGAAGGATGCTATCATAAACGGTACCAAGTGCATTTTTGCCTACCATCACTTACAATGGCAAATAATGTAAAAAACTGCATGATGGCGCCATCTCTATGTGCTCATGAAAATTAGAACAAAAAGTTTGTGTAGAATGTTAGTTGTTTGAAGTTTGAATACGGAATCATTTGTTGTGACGTCTGTCATTTTACGCTCGATAAAGATATACCGTGTAAATTGAACAAAAACCGATTTATTATTTGTATTTGGTGAATTTTTGATGGAAAATAAATTGAAATTACTTTGCACAGTTTGTGTCATCGAAATTAACTGCGAGGACGTTGCATACCACATGGTTTTTCTTCACACAAAATCAGTTGACATTTTTGACTTTTTCGCACCAAAAAAAAATGTTTTAATTGCCTTTGGTGCTCGTTTGGATCGCGAGTTCAATGCCAAGCACATAGAGATGTCGCTCGGAACGTGAAGCTCAAAAAAAATATACAGGTGATATAGAAAGCAAGTGAGGGTAGATTTTTGCCATAGCGATTCTCGACATTGAATTGTGAGAGATCGCGTGTGTCAGTTGCACGTCGATCGCCATGAGTTAATGCTCCAAGTGATTCAAGTCGCTTTGCGACCGATGCAGCAAATCGACGTTCGCCAGCCAAATCGCTAATCAAAAATATGTATTCCGGTGGACTGACCTGATTGGCACGATGTGTTCGACCAAATTGTTGAATGGCACGATCAGCTGACCATGGCAATTCGAGTGTGATGTGCACACGACGACGCTTGTTCTTTACCCAACGATCACTTTGCAGTGAGATTCCATTTGATGCCTTTAGACATATAAAAAATAAATTAATTATTCTTCATAATTTTCGTATTTTTATATATTTATTTCAATATGTAGTTACCGCCTCCGAAATGATTGCAATCAATTTTTCACCATTCATAAAACGTTCTTTTTCACGAATATTTAGATTTTCCAATGAGACATCATCTTCGGCACGTGACTCATATTCGACACCTTTTCGAGTTCGCACTACACGACCCTTGCGACCTGTTAATTCGGCTACCTTACTTGTTTCACCGAGTAAATCGCTCAAATTGTCCAATCTGTTGATGATTTATCGAAAAATCGATAAAGAATTGATTAAAAAGTGAAACTGAATTCAAATTAAATATGCAACTTACGTGTTTGTTGGCAAACGTTCACCAAGTTTCTCGATCTTATTCAATAGATCCGCTTTCATACGAGCAGCTTGTTCTGCGACAGATTCTGCCGGCTTCGATGTTGCTTTCGGTGCAATCACTTTCGATTCCATAAATATATTTTATCCAAAAACGAGCAAATTAAGGGAAACGTTTTTTTTCTCTTTTCGACGGTGCAGAAAAATAGTTTTTTTTTTATATCATTCGGCAGTTCGTAGCCATTTTGACAAATACAATTTGGTGTACAAAGGAGCGGACGAATATTTTCTATTGTCTTTCTGAGCAGTTTAGCGCAGTTAAGCGCAGTTTGGCGAAAAATTTATCGAGAAAAGAGAATAAAAGGGCATATTTCGGACATTTTTTGGAATT